TAGACTTTTCAACAGCCTTCAGGATCCATTGTGAAAAGCTAGTCTCATATCTCAGATAATGAAGCTTTCAGAACTTCACCTGTAACATCCAGAACAATGTTTACTTCATACAATTAAAAACAAATTTAAAAGAGGAGAGAAGTTATATATGATATGTTACAAAAGAGAAACATCATAAACCTCAAAGAAGCCTCCAGTGGTCAGTCATATACAAAAACCCAGAAATGCAGGTTTTCTAGGAAATTCATAGATCAAGGAAGTTTAATTCATTTTATTTTTGAACAACAAGAGAATTCCAAAAGAAATTCTGTGACAAAAATCTCTGATTTCTTCAAGGCTAGTGTTCTACTTCTGATCATGTCTTGTACCTGTTTCTTGTAAAAAAGCTGGCAAGAAGCCATTAGAATTATGTATTAGAGTTAGATGTATTTTACATGTATTAGAGGTTCATGTAAAATGCTGAACTTGAAGTACAAATAATTCCTTTTTGACTCTATCAATTACAAATTTCACATCATACCCTCACAGGCCTTCTGCAGTCAGGTCGTATTCCCCAAACACTCTGTAGCTGCTAAGAAAAATCTCAACTCCTGACATTATATGGAAATAAATTATTTAATATAAATTCCATATAAACTTTAATTCCTCCTCAACAGGCAAACAATGCATTTAACTAGCCAACATAACCTGCAGTTGTGGCTTAATGTCAAACCAGCTTTCACAGCAATACAATTTTGAGGTTTTCCCATCTACCCTGCCCTGGTTGTGTCTTCTGTCCTCTTTGCTGCAGACAAACAGTCCTTTGGGAAATTATGTTTGCTTATTTCATCACTCACAAAAAATTCTTCAGTGCTTTAATGATGCTAATGTCTACAAACGTCTGGTTTGGCACCATGAACTGACAGTGGGATCAACATGTGGATAGGATGGAAAAATGAAGTGGGGATACAGGTCCTGCACTGCTGCCAAACTCTGTCTTCTCAAGCCACACCCCAAGGCCATGTCTGTTCACAATATTTAGTTTCACAAAATAAACTACCTGTGTACGTTTTTACATGTAGTGTCTTGCAGGAGACAAATGCCTGCACTGAAATTATTTACAATTGTTCCTGTGTTTCAAGCTACATGTGTTCGCTAAAGCACTGGCAATCAATGTACTCATGGATCCCAGCAGCTCTTTGCAGAAGTTTCTGTGCCATCCTGGAGCTTCCTGTGAGGCAGGAGGGCTCATGGCCAGGCTAGGCTGAAGACATTTACATCCTCTTAGACTCAGACTGCTTTTTAAAGCCCAGACAATTTCCAGGCACACTGTCCATGCCTGCCTCCAGCCAGTTGTCCGTGGTGCACTCAGTTCCTCAGCCACTGCCCTTTGCCTTCGCCCCTCTGCCAAATGTATTCAAATTGACTTCCAAGAGTATATTATATTCCTGCCATAATACCTATATAAGGAAGATCTTGCCCTGCCTTGAACCAGAGGTGAAAGAGTAGCTTGTTGGTATAAGAGAATCTTCTATTTACACAGAAAGACAAATTCTGGGGTCTTTGCATGCAGAATTAAAGCCAAAGCAATACTTTACCTTTATATTTATTTGAGGAACTGAATACAATTCCTATTTTAGAGTGATGTTGCCCTTTTCCTTCCTTGTTTATCCTTGTCAGTTGTCCTTTGCTGTATGTTAACATTGCAAATTCTTGCAGCAAAAATGACAGCAGCTGTCTTTTTTAATACGTATTGCACAGTAAATGGCATAACAAAGCCTTGAGGTATAATTGCAATACATTAAATAAAAAAGGTACATATATGGCAAGCTGCCAAAATATATTTTCACAGTAAAGAATACTTTGCTTTCAGACAAATTATACCATAAAATTTGGTTATTCTATCCTGCAGAGGTGAAAAACTTGAGATCTAATGTCTTTTGATCTCTCAGTGACACAGCAGATAATTTCCACCAGTTTTAACAAAAAAAAGAGTTAAAACCGAAGTTTTATTATACTAAAATACTACATAGTACTATTTTAATAAAATCTCCCACTAACTGCTACAGTGATTTGAAAGAAGTAGTTCTTTTTTCTTTCCATTATTCTCTAAATGTCACTGGAATCCTGCTGTACCATGGATGAACAAGTCAGAAAGTATAAATAGTTGACAGTGAAGAAATATTCTGTACTGAGTACAAGATCCTATGTTTTCATGATAGCACTGACTCCCCATCCACATCAAGCCTCCTTCTGTAAAGAGGACCATAGGGATGATGTAGATGTTAATTTTTCAGAAAACTAGCTACACTGTGGCTGCTAGTGGAGACACTTTGGTGCTTATTGCATCAGGACTGGGTTCAAAGGCATCCCAGACTCCTCTGGGTACCTTGTTCCTTATAATATGGCACAGTCATCACAGAGTCTGGCCATATTTGCAGGACCTAACATATCAGAAAAGCTCCCAGTCTTGTTATCTCAAGGGATTCTGGTTTATACACTGAGAAAAAATCATTCTGTATCACACATGGGGAAACTGGGATAAGACTAAAACAGAAACCTGAAACTTTCTGTCAAAATTCTGTTCCTCTCACAAGAAAGGCCATTTTATCCAATCATTTGCAGCTTCATCATTTATAAACATGAATATTCCAAAAGACTGTCCCCAATTTTTTTGCCTATAAACAGTGAATCATTATTCCCTCAGTAAATTTCTGGAAAATACATTGATTTCTTACACTGTGTGATACATTCACAGGAAATCAAAATAGACATTTTACAGAAACCACTAGATACCCAGGTCAGTCTTTTACATTCACATTTCTGAAGCTCACTCATAATTTCACATTCAATAATAGTGTTCATAATAATTTCTGTTCTTCTGCACATGTAATCACAGCCCAAAGCAAATGGGAGTGTAACAATTCCATCAATTTTCTGTTTTGCATGAAAGGATTTACAAATAAGAAACGTTTCCCCAGAGAATTGTCCACTATGAGATATTAATTCAGAAAGGAAAGTACTAGTTTTACCCTACAAGCAGGGAAACTGAGGCTTACAATAGAGCAGGGATTTGTCAGTGGCAAACAGCTGAATAGGAGCAGAGGCACATTAGAGCTCAGTCTTCTGTGCTAGCAAGCTTTTGATCTCTAGCAGAAGCCCTTTTAACCTACTGGTAGAGTCTAATAATAAAAGGTATGCACACAAAGATAATTCTTATTTCTTTCTTGTTTTGAGGTAACAGCTTTTTACACTATATACACAGTAAAAATTTTGTCCTTAATGTTTAAACACAATCAGGGCTAACATATCTACCAGCAAGAAGCTCCAGGCTAGACACATGGCATATAACCGTTGAAAAGCAAGCAGCTACTTCAACCATTTAACTGAAGACTGAAGAACAAAGCTTTGGAAATGAACACTTTGAGCACTCTCTTAAAGGGCTGAGAGATGAAAAGTAACACAGCAGCCTTTGAAGCACCTATGGCTGTGGACTTCAAATACTCACTGGTGTGCACAGATATAACAAAAGTGGCTATTTGAACTACACTGAAACCCTGGCACTCACAATTCCACATGTAGGGGTGCAGTTATCTGCAGGGGGGCTAGAGAAGGGGCAAGAAACACTGGAGGGTCAGTTTGTAGGAAGGCTGAGATGTGCTTCGTCCCACCCAAAACTTGGATTCAAGATATCAATTTCAAATTAATGAGACAAAATATCATTAAAATAGATTTATTTAACAATAAACTAATAGCACTTAAATATTTCACCTTATTTTTCAAAAAGCTAAGCTATGTTCAGTTATTCACAGGCTGCTGCTGCCCCTGCACCCATCACAAGCAATTTAGACATTTGTCTTCATTTCACACAGTCTTAAGATGTCACAGAAAGGAAACAAAGAAGAAATGGCTAGACCCTATTTTTGCATACTACTGCAAATAAACCCAGTTCTGTCTTGGGAAATCACTGTCAAGATCAAAAATCTGCTCCGTGCAGATATGTGCTAACACTTGGGTCTCCTCCTGCCCTTCCTGATGACAAGCCAAAGTTAACTTACCTAAAATATCAGTATAAAGGACCTGTTCTAGGTCACCCAGCATTGTTATTATGACATCTTCATCCAGATGTGCAGTCCCTTCACGCAAGCACCCTTCCTCCTCCTCCTCTGCCCAGGTCCTGCTGGGGAAATGGGATGTGCAGGACGCATTTTCATCATCGGATTTTTTGCTCTCCTCATTGTCAGTCTGAAAGCCTTCACCTGTACACCGGTCTCCTGACCTCTGGGATGTCCTGCTTCCAGCAGGGGGTATCCCCTGAAATGCCTGGGTTGTGGTGAATCCAGAGTGACAGAGAGAGTGCACAGACTGTGAGAATGCCTTGGACAGGGAGCCTCTGCACCCAGCTTCGGCATGCCGCTGTTGGTAACTCTGGCTGGACTTGGAGGCGTTTCCAAACCAGTTCTCCCTGTATGAGTGTCGCCTCTTCTCCCCTTCACTGATGAGTGTGAGATTGGTTAGAGACTTCTGCTTCTGAAGACGAGCACACCCTCTTCTAACCTCCGTGCCTTTAAACACTGACAGTTCAGCAGATCGCTGCATCTTTCTGGCTGGGCTGCACCTCAGTTAGATTTCATATTTCTGAGATGGACAGCAGCTGAATTCCCCCAGGAGCTGCGGGTGGTGCTCCCTGCATCGCCGCACGCGGCACACCCCAGGTAGCACACGCTTGCACTCACAGTGAAAGCACAGCTCCCACATGCACTCTGCACACTGCAAAGGACTAGACAGGCACCGTCATCTTCTTTAAAATTACGCTGCTGTCTCTGCTCAGCCACTTCTTGTCCGTCACATTAATCTGCAGTACTTACAGTCATTTTCACTTCGATTTCTCTCAAGCAGAAGAGAGTTGATCAAACACTCTGCTCCAGCACAGAAGTAATCCCAAAAGCCAGCTGTGTTTTCCCCTCTCCATCCAATCACCAGTCTCATCGGAGCAGTGGGCCTGCATCTCTTTCTACAGCTGCTGCCTTCTGAAATCCAAAGTAGGCACAAGTACTGTCTCGGGCTTTTCCCTCCCTCTCACCAGCTCATGACTGATCTTAGTGCACAGCTCTTCACTTCAGATGGGCTGACACAGAGCTGCAAGTACAGCCTCCACGTCAGAGCTCAATAAAGAGCCAAAATTAACCACTGAAGCACAAGCCTCCTTACATTTTAGTATTCAACCTGCATTCCCAGATATATGACTCTTCTCTGCTACTGCAGTGAATGCTGCTGGCTGCCATGGCAGCAAACATCCTGGTGAATTAAACCGGAGACACAGAAGCCTCTGCCCAGTTTACAGTGCCACAGGTTTCAAGACACAGCTTCACCTGAATGGGATGCTACTGTAACAGATCTAGCTCATGGTCAAATCCTATTTTTCTCCCAGAAAGGTAAGGATGAAAAACTATTTCTTCCATATCACTGTTATTCCCTATGCAGGAAGCTAAAAGCAGACTTGCAAAAGGACCTTCAGTCTTGCAATTTCTGCTCTAAATAAAAAATATAATTTAATATCATAAGACATGGAACACAACAGTATTTGTCTGGTAAAATGGTTCATAAAAGGAAATATTTAATTTCTTTCTCCTTAGAAAGATACTCTGTTTGCACCTCTCTTGAGATTCAGAGGCTAGTACAGAATTATAAAATCTGTAAAAAATCATTGTTCCACACTATTATGAAGAAAACCTATTAATCGAGGGATGATTTTTTAATAAAGCAAATAAATATTGTGTCAGAACTAAGTTCAGCAATTTTGAATGCTATTTTTAAATTCACTGTCCAGAGAGAAAGAAGACTTATGCTAAAAGGTATGTCTTTTCTCACAAATAAAAAGATATTAGTCCCAGAAATGGACAGATGAACAAAGAAATACCTGAATTTAATTATAATTTTTTTAGATAAAAAACTTTTTTATCCAGGGGAAATTAATTTCACGAAACATTATATAGAAATCTACAAATAATAAAACTGCTGTATAAAAATAAACTGCTTTTGTCAGTGTGAAAATATGCTCAAGTCTCTACCTGAGAAACCTTGACAGAAAAATAACCTTTAAAAATGCCACCCTAAGAATTACAAGCTGTTCACAGATTTCCTGTACGAATAAACAGATGTTAGCAGAAGCCTCACTGTGTATTTCTTGCCTTTCATTGGTTCAGTTTACAGTTATTGAAGATACACAGGGGAAAATTCTCAGAAATTTCAAAGGAAAGGTACATTTCTTCCTAGATAACTCTCAGAAACATGGAATAACTCTCAGAAACATGGAATAACTCAGAAAAAAAAATCAGAAGTCTAAAGTAATGGTGGTTTTCCATATTAAAGCACTGGATTTCTGAGGAAGACATCAAGAGGAGGTACCACTCCCATCCCCACCTAGAACACACAGTCAAAGGGCAGACAAGATGAATGGTCTGTCTGCCTGAGTACAAAACTGTCCCAAATATTAAACAGCTATCACTTTTTCAGCATGGAAGGAAAAGATAAGACTGCTGTGTTTACTCCAGGGTCTGCAAGCTGCAGTGACATATGGGCTCTTGGAAGGGTTTTGCGAACGTGCTGGTGCCTGCCTGCAGCAGAGCAGGTGTGGTGTGGATGCCAGTGGTGTCTCAGAGCTGCTGTGGTGCTGGTGCTGTCACAGAATACCAGAGCACTGCCTGCACACTCCTGTGTTGGTGTGCACTGACAGTGCCATGGGGCTGTCCCAGCCTGTCCAACTCGCCTGAAAAAGCTGTGGTTGCTAGAAAGTCCTCATAGGGAGGTATTGACAATAGAGAATTTCAAAAAAAGAAGGGCAGGGCAGTCTAATTCTTTTTTGCATTAATTTGTTTTATATCCTAAATTATACTTAAATTGGTACAGTATTCTCCATTGCTATATTTTGAATTAACAGGAAAGATAATGATTTTTAGCTCAGTTGGTCAGGGCATAGTGCTAATAATGGCAAGGTTGAGGATCCAATCCCTGTGTGGACCATTCACTGAAGAGCTGGACCTGATGATCCTTCTGGGTCCCTTCCAAACCAAATCAGACTGTAATTCTGTCATTTGGCTCTATGATGCCAAATTTCTCTTGGTGATTGTCTTGGAATCAAGAGAACGGGCTTTTTTTTCCCAGCATAAAGAGCAAGTCTCAATCTCTCCCTGATATTTCAAATCCATTAACAACTTCTCCATCTGCCCTCTCATGCCCCAACACCTGCAGGCAGTGACTTGTCTCCATGGAAAGCTGTAGGCCGAGGTGGACCTGCTCTGCCTCCATGCAGGCTCCCAGTGAGCATGGTCACATGCAGCAGTCTGCACTGCAGGGCTGCACTGGCCTCAGGAACCCTTGTGGGCAGGGCACAGCCCTCGTGCCATGCACTGCTCTGCTATGGAAGCAGGGCTGCTCAGCTCCAACATGAGACCAGATACAAGCCACCAGAACTGGACAGGTACAGCCAGTGCTCTTTCTAGCTGGGAGCAGAAAAATTTTGGCAGGGGATGAAAAATGTTCACCCAATGAGCTACCCCAAACCTCCCATAGGGTGCTGCCAATAGGTGCCACTCTCCCCAGGCTGGACAGGTCGCTCTGGCAGTGACACAGCTGTGTCCTGGGCCACCCAGTGAGCCTCAGGGTCTCTGCTGACCTGTCACTTCTCCCAGTTGAGCTGGTCATTGCAGCCCAGCTTCAGAGCACACAGGTCACAGAGCATCATACTGAAAAGGGAATGACACTGGACTGTGTGAGAGCCATGTGAGGGTAGCTGGCAGCTGCAGCATTCGTCTGCCTCACTTTGAAATACACTGAAAACACAGTGAGTGCAGTGCTGTTCTACAGAGGTACTGAGGCTAATCACACAACCTTCATTCAGCCTTCCTGTGTACAGACATTTTACCACATCTCTTAATTAGAAAGTCATATGAACTTTTCTCCCATTAATCCCATTGCCTCATGTGGCTGACCAGGCCAGGGTGATCATCCCCAGACACAGTGAACACTTATTTATCTCAGACCAAGTACTCAGTAGAAACAACACTGAATTTGTCCTTGTACTTAACCACATCCCTCTGCAGGGTGTCATTTACCAAAACATAAAATTGCAATGTGAAAAATTCTTAGGTTTATTTCTTCAAAAAAAACTTTCTAAAGCTCAGCTCTCCATTTTAAAATGTTGAGATATAGTAACCGAAAAATACATCTTTCTATGGTAAGAAGAAAGTATAGGAGAGTAGAGAAGAACAAATGTCATGACAGTATTATTTCCCAACTACCTTGCAATTCAGTGTGCTCTCCACCCACCAAGCAGAAATATGTTTACATCAAGAACATGTTAGGGAACTTCCTCTATCACAATCAGTATAACATACTACTTTATTTTTACAGTCTCTTTACTAAAAGGGATTATAAAAATTATTTTAAGAACTAATAATCTTTGGGCAATTTTGCTGTCAGATAAGGTTTTCTTTGAAGTCTCAGTGGATGGTTTAGAACCCTACAAATGAATTATGTAATAGATATGGAAATGCATAAGATTATGAATCTCTTCAGCTAAGCTTACTTGAAAAAAAAATAAACTATTCCTGCATGTATTAATTGTTTATTTCAGAGAACAAAAAATTAAGCACAATAAACATAAAATATTTAAATTTGAATGTTTTTATGCTAATCCTGCCATTGAGATTTTAAAAGTACTGTTTCATTTCTGCTTCATTCATCAGATTTTAAATAATTAGTCAATATTTATAAATTCATGAATAATTACTTAATCAAACACTTTGCATTAAGCTCTGAGAACATGCCAGCACTTGTGAAAGCCAAATGTTATCACTGATTTAATGAAATAATACTTAGTTTACTGACATGTACAGTTTACAATGGATTATTAACTAATTAACTTGCTGACATCCTTCTCCAATAAACCTGCTGCAGAAGGTGATAAATGTCACAGCTACTTCAAGAAGAAATAGTTGGTAAGAAAGTCTGAACAACTTGTTCCCAGCCATATCGTGAATAACAACAATCAACCTGAGTTACTTTATGAGCCATTATTGCCATTATCATATTATAATCCTGTTTATAAAGATATATTCTGGTTTTGTAGAAACTGTGTGGATAGATACTGAGTAGTCTTGTTGAGGCAAACACTATATGAAGTACATGCAAGAAATTGTGTTCATATTGCACTTGAATGCAGAATTGTTCCTTATTTAGGGGACTCAGATTCTGTCTGGGATTTCCTAGACAGAGGTCTGCACACCTGTGTGCCACATGAGCAACAAGCCTACCACACACAGAACACACAAGACCTACTCCTCAGGTTTCACGCCTACAAACAGGGCTCACTCAGTGGGAGTACATGTATCACTGGAGCTGTGCACACAGAGGGGATTCAAGGTGTGCAGGAAGACTAAAAGCTGCTCTAGGTGTACTCTCGTGCTGATTGCCATGTGCACTGTGGAAACACTTGAGCCTGTTCTGACTGAGCTGTGGACTATTCAAAGGGGGAAAAAAGTAGGAAAAAGTCTGAAGCACTTCAGATCACATCTAGAAGAAATTCCCACCAGAGACATGGGAACAGATTTACAATACCTCTACCAAGATGCAGAACTGCTTTTAGGCATATGACATGTATACTGGCTTTAGGCATAAGCCATGTATATATTCACCAAGAGCAATAGATTACTGGTGATAATATAAAAATAAAGAGGATGTCCAGTTTATCAGGACAACCACAAGCCACACTTGTGAGTCTGTGCTTACACCAGCCTCCTGACCTCCCTTGCCTTCCAGCACTATTCTCTTCTCATGGTTGTGCAGGTAAAACCAAGAAATCAATTGCAAAGCAGTGGGCAGGAAGCACGTGGCTTGAGCTCTGACTTTACCTTTCACCACATCTGAGTTGGAAGACAGGAGAAGCTTTAAAGGTAACCAGCTCCCTTGGAGGAGGAAGACAGAGGAGAAGAGAGCTGAAAACTCCCTCTACAGATTCTTGCTTTACTTTCTACTTTCCCATCATCACTGTTTAGACAGGAGCAAAGGGATGTGAACTGCCTTGCTGGACGCAGAAAGCAGAGCCATGAATTTTCACCACTACAGCAAGGAAATTATCTTGGGCTTGATTCCTGAATTACACCAGGAGAATGGTGCCTGGCCAACCACTCCTAAATAATTTTAAGATTTTTTTTTTTTACATTCAACTTTTGTCTTTATTGTGGAGAAGTCTTGAACTAGACAGGCTTAAAGCATCAGTTTAGGTTCAGTTGGCTGATATTGGTCCAAAGTGAGTTAGGAGCTCTGATATGAACAACTTGTCTGGTTATGGAGCAGTAATCTTCAGCCAAGAAGCAATAACAAACAAGAATGTCTAAATATTCAGAAAATAGAGAAACAGTTTATACAACAATATTGGCTAAAATAGTCCTCTAGTCCTGAGGATGTCAGCCTTAGTTCTAAATATTTGGCACTTTAAAAATAATAATGATCAATGAAGCAGAAACAATACAGGTGGGACAACACTTCATGAAAACACTCCTCCAAGCTGTTTAGTGATTTTCACACATGTTCACTCTTCAGCATTATCCTTACTGATCCTTACAATTTACAAACATATTGTGCTAGTGTGGTGGCTACTGAGTTTCAGAAGAATATCAAGATAATATAAAGATGATGTCCACCCACAGCAACAGCTGAAAATTTCAGGAAAAAGGTAATATCAAAATGAAAGAAAGTGGATTCATTGCTTAATACCCTGAAAATAACTGACCAGACCACAGAAATTAACCTTCCTATCTCTTTGCTACAACACTAGTGTAATTCCTTGATCATATCAGAATGAAGATGCTCTTAAGTAAAAGAATTGAACTGTCCTTTCTCATAGGTAATCCATCATGGAATACTCCTCTGAGCAACTATCACATGAGCTTTTATCCATGCAGATCTAACAACATAATCACCAATGACTTGGTGATAGTTCATCCATGCAGGAAATTAATTACTCAGCAAATATAGTACTTGATCCATTTATTCCTTTTGCTGCTAACAGTGAAATACAGGTGACACACCTCTGCTTCCCTATGTGCACAGCAAATCACTGACCACATTTTCCCAGTGGTTATGCTTTATGCCAATCAATGGCTAATGCCAGAGTCTAAATAATCAGACTAGGAACATCTCTGGTGTCTAGTTTTCTTTATGTCATATTTTTCTTTTTGATGCTGTTTAGTTTTTGTTCACAACAGTAAAAAGGTCATCAGACATGATATTCTGTTTGATCATTTCAGCAGGTATTGAATTGTTTGGGGTTTTTCTAGCTTCTCTCTGGATAATTCCTTGAAGCATCTCTTGATTTGTGGTAAGTGTTTCAATTAAACTCTTTATATATATTAGACTAACGAGTCCAATTTCTGAATAATTAAAAACAATTTTATATTTTAGCAAGTATGTTATATCACCTCCAAAGAGGTGATATATTTATCACAGAACCTGGCTGCAAATAAAGAATGTCAGAAGACTTCCAAAGGGACTGAGACAAATCAGGACAAAACCTATTTCAGTAGGACTCAGCTAAATGCCAAGACAGTCCCCATAAATCTTGGGCATCTGATTACCCTTTTGGTGGAGAGATAATTTTAGAATGATGTATCAAATTAGTGCTTTAAATGAGTTATATCCTGTGTGAGAAGAACCAAGACTCATGACAAATCCATTTAAATGTTGACAATTTGTGGTAAAAGGGCAAAACTGTAGTTAAACCAGTGAGATAGGATATCACCCTTAATTTTTGTAAAATTATAAGATTAAGGATGCTAATGAAAAACAAAACAAAGCAACAGCAAAAATAAACCCTTAAACCTCCAAGTAACAGCTCTTGAAGAGTCCCCTTGGAACAACTTGTACACAACCCCGGAGTGCAGCTCAGTCCTGATGAGAAAGTGAGATGTGGCACACTTTGCTTTTTGCATGGATAGGCAGAGTCATGGCCAGATCCAGTGCTGATGTAACTCAGCATGGTTCTGTTGACTTCAAAGGAATTATTCCAATATGACTAAAATCCTTCAGCTTTGTAACCTAGTAAGGACCTTAATCCATGTTTACAAGGAATTCCTTGTAACACAACCTTTAGCAGCTTAGCTCTAGCAGCAGCTTATACGTCAGGTACAATAGTAAGGACTTGCTTGTTTTCTGAATAAAGATTCATTAATGAAAGGAATGTGTATATTATGTAATTTATGTCTCAGTTCTGATGTTATGATTTAATTTGATGTTATTAAATGAGAGTGTTAAACTTTCTGAAATCGACTTTCCACTGCTCCTCTTGGAACATTCAGTATGATTAAATGAAGTAACAATTACTGGAAACCCTAGATTGTCAAAGTGCAGTTTTTGCAAAATGATAAAGAGGGTATTTGAACATAAGGAACAAGTTTAAATAGATAACAGTGGATTTGAAGCACTAAAATATGCATGACCTAAATTTTCTGTGTATTTAATACCCCTCATGATTGAAGGTCAGAAGTATTATTTGAACCAATCACAAAGCTCCCAGTATGAAACAGATGTAAATAAAGAAGTTCACAGTCTTCTCCTGACTCATTGTTACTCACCAGATATCTCCTCTAGGCACTGTTTGGCAGTCTTACTAAACGACAAATCCATTTTAGTAGGACTGGTACAGGAGTCAGCAGGTGGTAAAGAGGTACTGTCATTTTCTGAGAGAGTTCTGAAATGAAGCAAGAAGATTGATTATTATTATCTGTCATTCATGTGTTCATGGAAGAAAGTGCTACTTGCAGCTCCATCTAGAATCATATCACTATAGGGTGAAAATATATTTTTTGTCACATTCTTATGCTAGTTTAAAAGTCCAGCTACACAAATATACAAGCAACTAGGCTCTCTCTCTCTCTCTCTCTCTCTCTGCAGAAAAAAGTTGTAGTTAATTCTGTGAGATTTGAAGCCTTTTTCTTCTCACTTTTTTTCTGAAGGATTTGTCAACCAGATCTAATCAGAATTCATTTACATTGGTTAAGTGACATCCCTGCACATACATAAAGGAAATAAAAACTTGTAATTGATGAAATATTAAATGAGAAAGGCCATGTGGGAAAAAGCTTATGCAAGGCTGGATGGAAATTTGGCCCAGATATTTAAATCTATGTGCAGCTTCTTTTGATAATGCAACTTATAAGACCCTGGGGAATGGGATAATAAAAGTTTTTCAATTAACTCTCTACTAAATAGCTCATATGTGCTTTGAGGGTATATTTCTGTGAATATCAATGATAAATTATAATGTTAACCCCTCACCGAATACAGTTACTTTCTGTTATATGAAAGTAAATAGCAAGAAATACATGAGCATACTGATTATAATAAAAAATATCTCACACAATTATTGTCTCTTATAGAACAGCTGTAGAATCTACTTTACCCTGGAACTGCTGAACTATGATGTCATCACACAACAACATGTACCACCATGAGCATACAGTAAAAGAACACATCAAAAAATATAATAGCCTGTTTTTGAAATAAAATTTTAAAAGATCTTCACTTAGAGCTTAAGCTCTTCCAGCTTTTCTGACATGAATGGCAGTCACTCTTCTGATTTATTAAAAGACTAGTGAAATATTTATATCTTAATTTTAAAGTGTGACATTTATAGTTCAATTTTCAAAATTTACCATAAAGTGTTTCCTATTACCAACTAAACTTAAAAGAGAAACATTTAACTGTGTGATGTATCTGTATTTTATAAATAAAACACATAAAAAGTGACTTATCTCTCAAAATAATTTCATTACAACTTATTTTATGAAATAAATGCCCAGTTAATGTCTTCTTTATTTTTGCTGAATGAACTTTTTCAGTAATTCATAACAATAGATGAGGAAACAGATATCTGCACAAAGAGCAGCACAAGTACTGACATGGTAGAATCTACTGATTAGAATCATCCAGCTCAGAAACAGAAATATAAATTATGCCTGATCAGATGCAATGTTTTCTTACCAATTTCTGTACTTTTGAGATGTTGGAAACAGAGAACTGCTCTATAAAAAACTACTTTTGGTTCTTGTCTCTCATACACTACTGGAAACACAAGCTCAACACATGTTGAAAGGTTAGCTATGTCCTGCCAACCTTGAATGTAGTTTTACATTTGATGCTTGAGAGAAGAGTCTCTTAAGTAAAAAAAGAGCTCACTCTATCCCTCTGCAGGGAATACATTCTGAAACTCCACAGTCCTGCTTGCATTCCCAAAGGGCTTTGAATCATTAAAATTTTAATTGTCTGAGGAAACAACAGAAATTTCATGGAGGACTATGGATTTTGCAGCAGCCTAGGTTCTGCTTGCTTGAGACAACAGGTTATTTGTTGACGTAGGATTTTGGGCTCTTGGGGAACAAGAAGTACCCAGGTACACACTAGGTACCTAAAACTTCAAGTTGCATTGCTGTGGGTCCATTGTGGGTTGTGATACATTGGACCAAGAATATAAATGCCTCTTCTAATTTTTATAAAAAATGGGAAATTAAATTGTGAGGTTTGTCTTCTATGCTTCTGGCTTTAATGTCTTTCAGTGGGATGTATTAATCCTATAAACAACTCAAGTGATTGCTGCAGGACTGGGGATTAAGCTCAAAGCAAGTAAGCAGCAAATTAAGTGATCTTCTCATTAGCCTTGCACGCTGGCCTAAATGAATTATCCTCTATCCTCTACCTACTCACAGCCCACTGCCTTAAAGATAATTAAATTCTTACATCTCTCTTGATATCAGACAAGGGAAAAGAATTTCAGTTTGGTCAAAGCCAGTCCAGTGATATTTCTTCCAGTGCTGTGCATCTACAGTAGAGGTTAATTTAGGCAACCTTCATGAAAACAGGACAATCTGATTCTATTTCAATCATGGCATTCAAAGAATATATTTATCTCCAACCCACTGAGTTACATGCTACCTATTTGTAAGAGTATCAAACTCACTTAATGGGACAAATCCTTCTTTCAGTCAGACCTGTACAAGCTTATTCATTCTGATTAAATATTCTGCCCATTGTGTACTGCGTAATTAAGAACAGAGTTTGAAACACTACTTAAAAAATGGTCTCTAACACAGTCAGTCATTTCCTGTCTCAAAAAAATAGCCAACCTTAGATAAACATAGATAACATCAAAGATTTGTTTGCTTTTTAGTTGACATTCCAAAAGATATCAGATAAAAATGATGGCATTTTTCCAACAGCTCCCTGAGATGCAGCTGTCTTGAATGTGTATCACTGTCAGTGTAACAGACTGGCAGGACCACATCTGCAATATGAGCAGTTCAATCACCCATGTTCGAGAACTGTGAGTTAAATTGGGAACAGATGCAAGGAAGGGCTACCAGGATGCTCATGGGGAAGAATAAACCCTTCTGGAAAAAAAAACCAAAAAACAAAACCCCCCCCCCCCCAAAAAAAAAAAAAACAAAAACAAACACAAAACCAGAAAGAGTTGATTTGGCTGAGCCTCACAAAAGAGAAGGAAGGCAATGGGATTATTCTCTCACATATTTAAAAAGAGCAATCAAAGAGAAGGAAAACATCTTTTTAAAGTCAAACAGACTGAATTAATCAAATATGTGTTTATAATGATTTCTTCATTTATTATGCTTCTTCCCATCTCCTCAACTAACACCTCTACAATGGAAACTTTTCTTGCACAATTACTTGAAAATCCATAATGGAAAAATGGGAGGATGTGTCTAAAGACCATGTATTTGTTACAACTAAAACTGGTGAGTGGCAATCTTTAGCACTACCTATGACTGCAATCAATAAAGCACTGCAGTATGACTCTGAGTCCTCACTTTATTGAAGAAAGTATGTTTAGCAGTATAATCTGTTATTAACAAACACAATTAACTGACAGAATGTTTTTTTCTGTAAACTTGGTTTCAACTCCACAATCAGTGACAAAGAAGTAGCTTCTGGTCATTAAAACAGGATACCAATATGGCTTCAAGAAAACCTACGCATGTTATAGTTGCAGGATCCTTGAAGAGTAGTACAATTTTTTCCCTAAGCCTGTACAAGAACATCCTGAATAGGCATCTGGAACTGAATGTCACTGTACTTCCAGAGATGCAACCAGATCTATCCTCCTTTCCATGTGTCACTGCTCTGAACCTCCTGCTCACCTTTGAGACTATGGCCTAGTAAAACAATTGCGTTGATCACCATGTAGTAAAGGAGTTGGGAAGAAAGTTTTAGTAACCAGTAACATGTTTATTTATTACAGTGATACATCTTTTTTCTGCCCTATCTGTTGAATACTTTTGTCCTTACAGTATCATAAAGTAATTGAGATCAGAAAGATATTCTAGGTGCTGTCCGGTCCAATGACTTTCTTAAAGATGGTCTGGTCACAATAAGTTGCTCAGAGCCTTGATTTGTTGAATCCTGAACATGCCCAAGGACAGAGATTCCATAACTTTGCTCCACAGCCTGCATCAAGTGTTTCATCGCCTCAAACTAAACCCATATTTTTTAACTTTCAATCAGCACCTCCACTGTTGCAACTTGCATCTTTTACTTCTTATCCTTTCACCCTGCATTTCAGAGAAGAGTCTGGCAATATCTTCTCTACACCAATATACTAGGTAGCTGAAGTTGCCAGTTTTTTACTTTGCAGGGACAAAAGAAGTGCCCAACTGGTATTTGTAGTCCAGCACTGAAAGAATATCTCTGCAAGACTGCAATTCAGACACTGCTGAAACATCTTCCAGATGCTGCTGTCATCAAACAAAAACTTAGCTGAAAAATGGAAATTTAAGCAATGCACAACATAGAAGTGTAGCTCGGGATGATGAGTGGTCAGCTAATTCTCTGCAGCAATTTCTCTACTTTCAGCATTTTGGGCAGTAAGCAATTCCTGAGCAACACAGGCCCTGGGATTTGAGAGCTTTAGATTCTGTATCTCAGCCATGGGAAAGTGACTTACTAATCCCCTACAGTGGTTACTGGAGGAGTTAATAAAATAAAGCTGATGTGCAGTACATGCATCCAGTTATAACTCAATGTTCTTCTACTGAAATTCAGCAGGATTTCTTTTTTAGGAAAGGTCATTAATGTACCTTTTTCCTCCCATTTGCACTGTAGCCTAGTAAGTGCTAAACTTCTGTTTACTCTTCTGTGCTTGAAATTTAGGCACTACTAGGAAGACAGCTAAATTCTAATGCCAATTTCAATACAAGTTTAAGGGTCTTGGGAACTTGGTACAATTTCCAGTCTCCTACAATTCTGTCTAAATAAAAGAATGAGCAATTTTAAGTCGCAGCTGGTGCACTTCAAACAATTATACAGTCTCTTAAACCTTCCTACTGTATCTGTCTTATCAAGCTTTCTGGCAAATAAATTACATCTTCTTCAGTCTTACATCAGTGGGACACTGCAGTCAACTTCAGAGGGGACACACAGGGGACTGCAAATAGGATATTCACAACTACTTTTGAAAATAAAGCATCACTTTCTGACAGAATGGAAGAATTTAAGTGATACCTGTTTAGATAATCTCAAACACAACTCTGACTGTTGCTGTTAATCTTTGAAGAGAAATTTTAATCCCATATGAATTTTGTTGTCAGGTGTTTGGGAGGAATAAAAATAACACAGGGCAAAGCACCAAGACTGCAAAGCTGAACAGTGCAATATCCCACTTGAGAACCTCCCACTAAAACAGTCCATTAATAAAAATATAGACTTCTTGAAAACATGACTATTTAGTAATACTAATAGTTATGGAAACTGTTATAGGTTTCCGGTACTTACTTGAGGAAAATACATGGCATTCTCAAAAAAACTCCTTGGAATACCTAATTTTCCTCACAGTAATCTACAGTAACATCCTCTTGGTTAACAAAAAATATTTCAAAATACATGGTATTTTCAGGTATCAGCAACAAATCAAGAAAGGACTAGCTTACTTATTCTTGTGCTAGTGGTCTAAATAAATGATGCAAATATATTACAAGATTCTGCAGAACTCTGGATAACTCTGTATTTTTACTAAATTGTATTGAAATTTTGTACAAAGACTGAAGTTCAAACTCAGAGAGCCTAGATATTCCTTGTAGCTGGCTAAAAAAACCCTGTTAAGTCTAAATGGTAATCACTGTTTACTAACTTATATAAGGCTATTAGAAAGCACACCTGAAAATTCTGTGTATTAATGGTGGTGTCTGCTTTGAAAACAATTATGTTGCAGAACAAAGAACATAAGTATAGTGCTCCAGCCCTTGCTCATTTCCACTTACCACGTATCCACAGAAATAAATATGCGGACTTTGAAAATTTGGGTAATTTATCCTTGGTTATATTTATATTTTTCTATTAAATCATTGTCCAGTATTATGAACTCCTCAATATTTTAAAGAAATTTAGTTACTGTGTATTTTTTAGTGAGATTCTGCACTCAGTTAGAGAGATTCCTATTGAAGCAACTTAATCAAAGTCCATCTTCTGCTCTGAGTTTAAGGCATTTTGAGATCAGAAACTGGCTCTGAGAATTTTATTTTCAAGTGAGATTCAACTTCAAATACTCCTTTGCTCTTTGTTTGAAGCAAAGAGACAATTATTAATAAGAAGTATTACTGAAAGATGCATGCTTCTATCACCCTTTAATATTCAAAATACACCCTGCTTCAAGGCAAAGCTTAAAACAAAACTAAGACATCTTCATCATGCAACGAAATGGCATCAATATGCAGCAAAATAGCCATTAAGCAGCACACACATCTGAAGGCAAAGCATAGCTCCTTTTTCTCTCTCCTTGTACATACACCCTAACACATATGTAGGCTGTCCCATGAACCACACTAGAAATCCTCTGTATCACTGAGGTTATTTCAGATTGCCACATGCATGTTAAGTGTATCCAATGATACATAAAATTGAAACTCCAGAGGCTCCACTGCATATTAGAATAAATATAACCCATACTGAGCCTTTTCTTCCCCCCATATGATTTTCTGAATTCATCAGTCATCCAGATTGGTTTTGAAGCTATGTTTAGTTGCGTGTAATGATATATATACTTCCTCAGAGACTACTTCATCACCTCTTTAATCTTTAGCCAAGATCATCCAGAGTACTAGTCACTAACAAAAACAGGCAGTATATTTTGCTTAATAATGTATTTGTCATTTTATCAGATGTTAAATTTACCCACAACCCTCTAAAACCCTCCAACAGCTGACAACTGAAAACATTCAAATCAGCTTGTCAATCTTTCTACACTTTTTCTATCTTCTGAGTTGTACAGTGAATCTCCCAGCTTCTCTTCCACTGCTCTATCATACAGCAAAATAAATTCAGAGAAATGTTGATACATTCAACTGTTCGTTCTTCTTTTTCAGAGCCTTGGCCCTCTGAAGAGTTACTATTGCCTGTAAAAATTAACTGTCTGCACGGAATTCATCTACACCTATTTAATGGAGAAAACTAAACAGGAAAAGAACTGCAAACAGCATTTTTTTCTGTCTACACAAACTGTTGAAATATTTTTGAATACTTGTAGAAGTTTTGTATATGTTGTTTCTTCAAATATCCACCAGTACTGTTACACATTCTGAAAACATCAGGAATTTATTTTATAATCTTGTAAAAGAATGGTGAGTTCTAAGCAAATATTATCAAATATCAGCAAACAGATGATGAGGTTCTTAGTATGCAAACAAGAATATTCACACTAGAAACCTGACTCAGCCGTGACCTTTCAAATGCACAGAGAATGTACCACATGATCTGTATTTCTAATCAAAACATAGTAAATATTTGCAGTGGACTGCTTTTGTACAAGGTAAAGACTCAGAGTTCTTGTAAGAAATTGTTCATAGAGTAACATTAATTAAAAAGAATAATATTAGAAAAACATTAACATGATGCTGCAACAGAAACTGGGGGAAAACAGCATGATCCACCATTACTTTATCCATTTTAGCTCTCTTTCCTAATTGGAAGCACAAACCCCAATCTTCTCCATGATCTTACCTATAAATGAAAGGAGCTACCGTGGCAGTGTTGGGGTGGCTGTATTGCTGTTGCTGAGGAAGCTGGACTACACCATTTCCTGTGCCTTGGCCACTGCCTGCAGCCATCGAGGCGCCAACAGAGGATCCTGGAGTGAGAGCAGCACTTGGTTCTTTCCCTTCAGAAGAAGTAAGACCAGAGGAAGGAGAAGCCTTCTCACTAAGCTGAGATTTTGGTGTTGACTGGGACTGGTTTCCTTTTGTAGTCCTCAGTTTTTCAACCTCCTTACTCCCTGTGCATGCGGAGGAAGTGCTCTGCTTTGCTGTTGGCACCTTTGATCCAGGTTTTGGGATCCCACTAGAAGATGATATTAAACTTTCTTTCTTGGCTGCTGTAGTCTTGCTTCCCTTTGGGATTAAGCTTGCAATTTTTGAGCTCTTCTTTGTAGATGATTCAATGACCTGATCCTTCTCTTCCTTGACTGCTTTCTCAGTGCAAACTTTGTTTTTGTCCCTGTTCTTTTCCTCTTTGTCCTTTGGCTGTAGCAAAGACTTTTTATTGCTGAGATTTTTGCTGCCAGCTTTTGGAGGGGTTAACTTGGGTGATACTTTGGGACTGCTACTTGTGGAGCCGCCGCTGTTCACCCCACCACTTAAGACATCCATGTCACCACACTCTGAAAAGTTGTCATCCTCTCTCCCACTGTCACCAGGGCCTGAGCTCAGTGACAAAGGAGGTCTCAGAGCAGTCCTAGCATTAACCAGCTTGAATTTTTCCAGCATAGATTTTTGTCCAGATGAAGGGGGCTTCACACCTTCAGAAGGGGGTGGCTTGAGCCTGTCTGAAGTAGGAGTAGGAGTAGGGGAGGTTGTGGGACTGGGCTGCTTCACAGACAGCATAGTAGAGGTCGCGCTGTGTTTGACATTCATGGATTTGCTGCGCCAAGGCTTGCTGGCACTTGGAGAGGGTATGGCAGAGACCTGCTGCTGCCCAGTGCTGGTGGGATGCTGCACATTTCCATTCATGCCTGAAGAGGGGTGAGGGCCTTTTGGTGAATCTGCTTAAAAAACAGAAAAAAGCCACAGTGGTATAGTTACTCTCCCATCTCATGCTTGAGGGTGATGTCATATTCCCTGGCATTTAAAACACATTTATATGCGATCTAAAATAACCATAATTTATATGTGCATGAAACATGAAGGATGCCAACAGAATATGCCTTTCTTACCTCCATTATCATGGTGTTTGATACTTCTACAAGTCCAAGAAAGCTTCAGAAACACCTTCATTACAACAATTTCTATATGCCAATCAAGCCTTCCAACTTAAGATTTTATTTTTTAATCTTTTAATATTTTATTTTTCTAATCACTTGTTCATAACAAAACACTGAAGAAAAAAAAAAAAAAAAAAGAATGCTACAATTATGTCAGAAAACCAGAACTGGACAAAGAGGGGTCTGATGTTTAGTGAAAGGAAAATATGTGCTAGAAAGCTAAGGTTTTGGGCAGCAGGAGAAGGACTTAGTACTACTGAAATTAAATGCATAAAATCAATAGTCATAAAAGCAAAAAAGGCTGGTGGCAATACATTTTTTAGTTTTAGGTACCGTTAACAATGTTTAGCAGCTCACTTCAGGAACTTATCCCAGTACACTTTCAAAGGTAGGAAAAAATTTTATCAACAATTTCACTAGTGTGAGTACTTGCAAGTTACAGTGATACATCATCTGCATGGGTACAGCAATGATAGTTGGTTTGGCTCTGGCACATCCACTACATTTGCATCATCCATGAACTTCAGTGGATCTTTGGAATGAATGAGAACAAGGCCCCTTCTGCAATAATCAAACTATGCCAATTAATAGCTGTGATTTTTGTCATCTAGCCTTATTAACTGAAACAGAGCAATGCATGAAAGGGTTAAGCTCTCCAGTATTCCCAAGTTCAGATTCCCAAGACATTTCTGAGTATATAAACACCATCACCCTGAAATACCAGAGAAATGAAGCGGTAATAGCAATCAAATCATGTGGTACACAGCTCTTTCAGCAGCTGACATATATTCTTTTAGTGGATGCATCTTGCTGTGCCATTCAGTATTGGGACTGCTGGGGAATTAGATGTAAGCTGGTCTATAGTATATTGAATTCTGTACTCCAAAAAACCCAGGAAACATACAATTCAAATATAGTTTTGATAGCAATGACAAAAAGAGTGCTTGATGCTTTGCATATACACATAGTATTTTATACATTGGGGCCCCCCCTGTCTGAATAATATCATAGATGAGAATGCTGAGGACAGTATTAGAACTTCAGCACAGAGTATGAAGTTATGAATCGCTTTCATTTGTGCAGTCTCAGCCCTAAACCTCAAGTAAAGATTCAACTACCCATCTGGAAGTCTGAAGTCTACTAATATATTCAGGAAAGGCAGAATTTTGAGAATACTGAAAGTTAAGCTGTTTTTCCTCTAACAAAGAGAATGAAAACATAGCAAAATTTACTGCTCTGAATAGCATTAAGAAATTCTAGTTGAAAAAGATTTAAAAATAGTCTGAATAAAGTAATATGATAACAAATAAAATTTTCACTTGCTTAACTCTATTAGTAACTAGTTCCACTAAGCAAACCACCTCCACCTTAATAGATGCTATATAATTCCATCTGCCCAGATGGTTTTTTGTGTGCATCTCAGCTTGGTATGCAAATGCCACAGTGCTACATGGGTGACAAAGATGATGAAGGGACTGCAACACCTCTCCTTCAAGTTTAGGCTGGGAGAGTTGGGCCAATTCAGCCTCCAGAAAAGATGATTGAGAGGGGAACTCACCAATGTATACAAGTATCTAGAGGAGGTTGTGAAGTCAGGCTTTTCCCAGTGGTGCTCACAATCGGGTAAGAAACAACAGGAAGACCCTGATGCACATGAAGTTCCACCCGAATATGGGGAAGAACTCCTTTACTGTGTGAGTGACTGAGAACTGCAACAGATTGCACAGAGAGATTATGAAGTCTCCATCACTTGAGATATTAAAAACATGTGGATGAACGCATGTTCAATGTGTTGTGAGATGACCCTGCTTGAGCAGGGGGGTTGGACCAGATGACCCACTGTGGTCCCTTCCAACCTGGCACATTCTGTGATTCTGTAGATGAGCTCATTCCACCTTCACAAAAGATTTCATGCAGCTTTGCCAAGTCCTGTTCTAAACAAGGAAACTTTTACAGGTAAAGCTTGCTTCAGAGTATTTTTTGTGATAGGCTTACTTACAGCCAGTTTCCCAGGCTCCAGCTTGCACCATGGAGCACTTTTGGTGGGCAGCTGCTGTAGCTGATCCCTTGAGACCATGGCAGGAATTATGGCTGGGCCCCTGCTCTCATCTAGTGAGCCTCAGATGCTGTAAGAGAGCCTGGGGCCAACCACGGCTGTTGGAAATTACTGCAGCCTTCAGGCTTTCTTTTTTTAAAATTTAATTTATACCAGGAGTCAGCCACAGGGCTGATAGCTCAAAAGTGGGTGTGCACTTGCCTACATCTTGCCTTGCACTAAGCTAGCCCTAAATACACAGGAGGATTGGAGTCTTAAGCTCTACCAATAGTTTTGCAGAAGAACAATTCACCATAAGAATATGCAAAGCTAATGCAGAATACATGTAACAATCTGTGAAAAGTGTGATGCCACTATGTTCTGTTGTATTAGTTATGTTACATATTTATGGCTTCAGCCTATTAGTTTTACTACCAAAAAAAAAAAAAAAGTGTTCATTAAAAAGAATGCCTGCCTTGCCATATTTCCAGCTGTATAATATTGAACTCATTGAAGGAAAAATGCAAAAAGAAGAGTATTTACTGTTTTGACAGCAGCTTGTTCTGCTACATATATAATAAAAAAACACAGGTTCCTGGACTGGTATTTATTTGATCTCTATGTCACAAATCATAAACAGCAACAAAAAATTTCAGAGAATTTTAGCATGTCAATAATCTTCAAATTAAAGGGCAACCTTAATATTTCTGCAAGGAATGTGAACTGCATGCCCTCAAGAAATATTGACAACCTGTCTGTATGTTTAAAGAAGTGGAATTAAAAGATCTATTCCACCCCCACCTCCAGCAGAAATGCATTACTTGAAGCTGCACACAAATAACTGCTTTCTGTGTGTTCAGTTGGGCTTGGCTTTAGCTGCTCATTACATGAAACCTGTCCCCACCTTGTGGTGATTTTGAGACAGAGTGAAACCAGCCTTTGAAAAGGACTTGTTATTTCTATATACTAAATTTTACAAGAAGTCTGTCTTCGGTTTTGGGCTTAACCCCTTATTTCTGAGATGCATAGTCAGATTCCAGTGAAAACAGTTTTGCATTCTGCTTGAGAACTCAGCGCTTCAGAGCTCAACCTCCACTGTAAAACCACAGCAGAAACACAACATCCTCAGATATTTAATGCAAAAAGAGAAACCTCTATCATAACACAGCAAGACCATGATGACTGAATAGACATTTTCAAATCCACTTTTCATAGGCTGTTGAAAAAATAAAGGACATATGAAGAGTTGCACTTGGGCCCAGTACATAACCAATCTCCTTTGTCTTCTCATCTGTGACCTTAACTGTGTTCTATGCTGCTGGAGAAGACAACCTCTTAACAACAGCTCCTCGACTGCAGCAAAATTACTCACGATAATCTAAATATTCTGTTGCAAGCAGGTGTCCAAATTATCCACTTTTAGCCCGTCAAAATAAAAAAGGTTAGTAGAAAATGTGAGTTGCAAAGCATTGCTATAAAAATGAAGGAATGGGAGGTCTATCTAGTGAGATTAAAAGAATTCAGCTTGTTCAACTCTCCCTTTGTAGCTGTCCATGAGAAAGTAGCTACCCCTTATCAGCACATGAGGAGAACACCACCAGGAATAACTGGAAAAATAGGGGCACCAGAAGAAACATACACAAACTAGCTATAGTTGTACATACTGGCCAGAGATGAACAATTAGCATCAGCATCATCACACCACAGAGGT